GTAGCCAATAGATTTACAGGAACATGCACTTTATAATTATATAAAAATTTATTTAAAAACATAATATAATTAAGCTATAATTCGCAAAAAGCCGTGCCCGGATACTTTCTTCAGGGGAGTGTAGGTATCAGAATGCTTTCTATAAAGGTTAGGTTTAGAGCTAGTCAGCTTGCCACAAACCTTACAGGAAAAGCGAGGTTTAGCTTTCTAATGTTCAAAACACCCTTCAGGTTGACGACAAGTTCGCTCACAGACGTATCCAATCATGAGTAAATAATTGCAATAATATTCACCTATCATGCCTTCTTATTGTTTCACAACTGCAAAGTGATTTTATAAATCAAAGGATAAGTTTATATAATAAAAAAATACACTATATTAACTATTTCTCCTGAAAATCTTGATCAAAGGAGGGGAAATAAATATTTTATTTTAAACGAAAGTTTTTGCTATATTAATACAAATATTTAATACTTATACAAAATGGTTAACTATAAAGATATCGAATCAGTATTAGTTGAGGTAATTAAAGTGGCATATAGCCAAGGTACGAAAAAATATGATAAAATGGGATTGACATATGTAGGCTATTTGAAAACAATGCAACGTAAAAAAGATCCAGATGATCATTACAAATATGTAGCAAAGCAACGAGCTCCAAATGAGAAAATTTATAATGAAAGAATGGTGGATTTCAAAGACTGGTATAATGAAGAAGTGTATCAGAGTCTTGAAAAATTATATAAATTATATCTCTTATTCGCAAACTAAGAAGAGATTGTATAAAAAAGGTCTACTGAAGAAGTAAATGAAATACTTAAACTTTATGAATTAGAAATCTAATTCATGAGCACCCATCGTGACGGTAATTCTGTGTTAGGAGATATAATTTGAAGTTTCTCTCTTATAAAAGATCTTTTCAGACCATTGCCTTCATCATCTATTAGCCAGTACAAGACTGACTGATTTTTTTGCACTAGAGATTCATGAATATGATAAATTTGGAGAGACCAATTACAATCAGTTACACGTCATCTTCCACCTTCTAATTCACCAGGATTAAGCAAATATTTTACTAAGACATCATGGGATAATCTAGGCTCATTAAATCCAATAGGTCCTTTTCGTAGCTTAGAAGCTTTAGCAAAGACATGTTCTTTTTTTCAAGCTTCAGGCAGGAGAAATACCCAGAAGACGAGTTACAGAATTGTCAAGCTCTATAAGAAAAATTGGAAGGTTTTTTATCCAAGCTCGATAGCGCTCAGTAGGAGATAATCTCATTTCAATACCATCTTGAATAAAGAATGTCCACTCTTGTAGTATATGATTAAATTTCTCAGTAATACCTATAGATTCTTTAGAATTAGCTATTTGAATTTGGATACCATATTTATTCATTAATATTATAACATTACCTTGGAATTCAACACCTTCATCTACCATTAAAACTTTAACTTTAGACCAGTCAATTGGGCATATTTGAGATTTAAAAAGTTTCTCAAACCCTTTAGCTACACTAGCAGAATCACGTTTAGTTAAAGGATATGTCTATTTAGTATGGGTAGTAATATCTACACAATTAAGTGTGAATTTGTAAGTTTTATTTTTAATTTAATCATAAGACATATAACATAAATCAGCTTGAATAACTTCTATAGGTACAGTAATATTACTAAAAGATGCTTGAGGAATATATTTAGGTCGAGGCTTGTGAATCTGATATAAGGCCTGTTTGTTAAACCAATTTTTTATAAAAGCTAAAGCAAACCCATATCCAGCATTTTTACAAGCCATTTGTATTTTTTTAGCAGCGATAATATCCCTCAGGTCTGTAATAAAGTTTCTGTAAAGTAAGATCCTGATCTAAGTCTCAAGCTTTTTGAGAATCAACATAAATAACTGGTCTTTTGGCTTGGCACTCTTCCATTCTCTTTTATAATTACGAAAAAAAAGAATGACATTTCACAAACCTCATCCAAGGTAGAGAAAAACATGTGAAGAGTATAAAGCTGAGTTGGAGAAGGATAACTATCATCTTCAAGATGCATTACAGACAGAAGTAGAAAATAATCACCTAAATGAGAAACAGTTCAATCAACTTGAGCGAGATTATTTCCAATGTGAGCAAGAAATTCAAGATCTTAATAAGAAGATAGAGCGCCTTGAAAATGCTTCGAAAGAAGAAATAGTAGAGTTAAAATCTGAAATATCCAGCCTAAAAAATCAGCTATATCAAGCTAGAAAGGATGTACGAGATAAAGAAAAGTATATCTCTACCTTAGAAAAGAAGTTAGTAGAATCTGAGAAGCAGGTTGAAAATCTGCAATATAAGATCAGAACCATCTCATCACGAAAAAATTCTCCAGAGCGGAGTAATTCTTCAAACTTATATAATTCTGATGATAATATAGTTACAATTACTGAACTAGCAAATGCTATAGATAGTTACCTAGATAATCTAACAACAGGTAAAGAAATTTTAGCAGATCAAATAAAAAGGGTAATAAGGCAGATACGCTAAAAAGAGAATAATTTGCATTAGGATTTAGTCCGTGAGCAAAAAAAGCGCTATGATGCAGAGGCTGAGTGAGATCTTACTATTACGTGAAAAGATCTTGCTGAAGGAGTAATAGATAGGATTATTGGTGATCTTCAACAGTTACGGGCTAATGCCCAAAATCAAGTAAATAGAATGTTAGGCAATATAACAGGAAAGCGAACCTGTATTGGTATATTACTACAGGAAAAGTTTGCCTTACAACTACTATATCAGCGAAATGTCCACTACTTACAACGATATAGAGAGGATATAGGTTTATTAGAGTATAATTGAGATAGGCTCTATGAGCGATATGAGAAATGGAAGAATAAGACCCATGATGCTTAGCAGAATATTTTAAATTTGCAGAGACAAATTTTGGTATTACAGAATAATCCACTAAATCAAATAAACATAGCTTTACCTGTGGGATTTGTAATACCTGAATTAAGCAGTTTTGAACAGGTTCATGAAATGTTTGGAGATGATTTTATAACGTATATCCATTTAACAGGTCTAAATGATGAAGTAAGAATTCGCAATATATTAGACCGATCAGTAAAGGGAGAAGTGCGAGAGTGGTATAGAAGAGAGTTTGAAAACAAAAACTGGGAGTTATAGAATGTATTTGATAACTCTGGTATAGGTGCTACTATAGCTCATATTCGTGATGCTAATGTGGGAGCTATAACAGGAGCTGTCTCATCTTTTCCAAATGTTTCATTAGGTCTTGCAGGTGCAGATATTATTCCAGTTTGAAGACTTGATGAAATTGGACGATAGCTGGAGGACAACTAACCAATGCAGTACCAGTTGCGCTAAATGCTGAAGGAGGTGTTATTATTATTCTTGCAGGAATCTGATCTGGACAAAGGTTGAATCATATTAAAATCATTTTCCATCTACTGATAGATATTTGAGAATGTTTGAAATTGAGGCATTAAAACAAGAAGCGCATGAAAGTGTATCCTCTTATTAGGCAAAAATACTAAAGTATAGAGATCAATTGGGTTATACTCTAGCACAAAAGAAAACACAATTTATGTCTAAAGTAAGAGATGATATAAAGGAGGAAATTTATAGGATTGATCAGCACAGGATTATTAATAATATTCTTGACAGTTTAGTAGAACTTGAATTACGTCATGAAGTATTAAAGCCACTGCTATCATATCTTAATTATATACTATCCCCTTCTGCTATTTCTAATAACGTATCTCAACAGCAAGGGATTTCCTTAGCAGATATACAAAAAATATTTCAAGATGCACAGGCACAGCAAAAAACTGAAAACCAGGCATTAGTAAAGAAAATTACTGAATTAGAATCTCAAATGGCTTAGCAAGCGCAAAGCAAGAAAACCCACTACTGATTCCTCCTAAAAACATAGAGCAATTACTCAATTTATATGAAAGTAATAATCTTTTTGATGGATCTCCTGTACCATATAAATCAGAAAATTATGTTTAGCAAAAATAGATAGATTGAAAAGTATAGTAAGTAAAGTTGCAAACACTGTAGGTAATGTTGCAGATTCTGTAGGTCAATTAAGTAATCAATTAAGAAGAATGTCGCTTAATGATCTATCTCAAAAGCCTTTTTATTGTAGTAATTATGGACAGGAAGAGCATAAGAAAAATAATTGTCCTAGATTAGCTTTCACACCTTCGGCAAATCCTGTAGCTAAATCAAATTTTACCCAGTGTTATTATCCTCAACTTTCACCTACACAGTGCCAAAACACATCTTCAGATTCTGATAATGATGAAGATAATAGTAGTGGTTATGATAAAGTAGATAATGCGTGGTATTATGTATCAGAAAAAAAAATAGGCGCTAGTAAATGAAAAGTTGTCTTCAGAATCCAGCCAACCTGAAACATATGACGAGCTATTGCCAAAACTTTCACTGACAATGCATAAAATATGTCTATCTCGAAAGATTCAGAAGGAGAAGTCAAAAAAAGATGAGTGGTTTTCGTCCCTACAATACTTGAATGCTAGTATAAATGACTTACCAATCTCTGAATCTTTTTTAGATAATGGAAGTGAATTTGATAGATTTAATTTAGCTACTAGTGAAGCACTTGGATGGAAAGTTGATAAACCTTCCAAATTCGCTATAAAAGGTAATTCTGATCATATCTCTGAAGCACTAGGATAGTATACGAATGTAGCGGTCACTCTAAAGGATATGAAAGGAAACCCAATCATCACTATTGTTAGAAATTATGCTTGTATTAATAATGGTGAGCCCAATACAATGCTATGGTTAAGTACGACAGGAATTCGAAAAGTCAAAGGTATTTCTGATCTGACTAAAAATCAGTTTTGCATAAAGGATCATGGAAAGACATATATTATCCCAACTTTAGCAAGGCTCTAGTAGTCAAGGATCCGCCAAAAGAGAGGTCATATGACTCCTCCTGACTAGCGAAGGTAGTTTAAAAAAAGTGTGTAAACTGTGCAAAACTTGAAGAACGTCTTGCAAAAGCTGAAAAGTGGCTTGGTAAAGCAATAAGTGCTATAAAAATACTTGCCGAAAAAAATAAGTTAATTAATATCATCCATTTGTTTTAATACCTCTTCAAGTTCAGATCCCATTTTAGATATAATATCAGTATTA